ATTTAGACAATATTAGCAAAATTCTCTTTATTAATATAAATGTTTCATGGCACATATATTTCAGATACAATATATATGTATATAAAAACAATAGGTAAGTTGGTATTCCTACATTTACAGCACCATAACTAGGATACGAGTCATCTCATACAAAGACTCGTCTTGTGCACACAGTGAGTGAAAGGAGCTCAGCACTCTCCTAGTGAGCGTTTCGCTCTGTGCACACTCACTTCATTATCCAGCATTTTTTATTCCTACAGCACAACTGTCCAAAGCAACCTCCCCAGCATTTCAGGAAAGGCAAAATGACATGCTATAATATCTGGGTTCAGTCTAGACTAAAAATAAGAGACAACATAATGCTTTCAGGTTGTTTTCAGTTTTTCTACATAAGGCATTCAAAAGATTGGAATTGCAATAAGTTAGACAATGTTAAATGGCACAAAATAATGGCTCTAATGCATACTATAGAGTCTCACTATATTCTCTAATTTATTATAAAAGGAAATGAATGTTTGTTGGATATATAAATACAACATTATGAACCTAGAGGAACGTGGAACATCCAGGCGATTTTTTTTCATTGGTTTTATGTGATTTCCTTCAACTTTAGTACATACTTATGTCCATCTTTGCTGTTTAGGCTTTTTTTTTCTATTCTGATTCAGGGATTAATTTATATAAATGTAATAATCAAAAAATAATGCAGTGATGTTTCCCAAACTAGGTAATCAGATATTTATTATTTATTATTATTAATTTGTTTTGACTAGCTAGATGATATAGTTGAGTTAGGTTTCCATGTCTAAATAAATATAGAAACATACCAATCTAGAAGTTTACATTTCTTTCTAAAGGCAAACCACATATTGCATAGAACAAGTATAAAAATAACCTGTCACGTATTCTTGACTATAAAAATATATTTAATATTTTTTGGTAGTGAGAACCATAATATGATAATAGGGAGCCTTTTTAAAGTGAAGCCAAGTTGGTGCTTGACATAACACGGGCTCTACATCTCTCTCACTAAGAAAAAAATAGAATTTAGTAGAGGGGCCCATTTTCTATATTTCAGTGCATATGCTCCAACTGCAATTCCAGAAGTTTTCAATGGAGAACATTTACTTCTCACCAAAAGAAAAATCTTAGAATTCTGATAAAGTGATCATTTGTTACCACTAAATTCCAGGAGAATTTTTGTAAGGTGTGTTTTCAGTAGTAGTTTTGTGAGATGTACAAACAAAAAAGCCCCTTTATGCTCCATGTATCCCAGTGTACCTGCATCAATTACTTTTGCAGTAGTTTTTTCCCTGTACAAAAATGTGCTAGATAGTTTGTAGACAGTGTAGCCTAACCAGGCCACTCATAACTGACATACGAAAAATGTTTTTGTTAGGTCTATAGACTTTCCATCATTTCTAGATGTTAGCTACACAGGAGAGCAAAGCCACACAGGAGAGCAAAGCCAATCAGTACTGAGGTCTAATGATCAATTATTTGGAACATCATGAGTTTTAATATTCTTGATTAATAGAGCTTGGCAAGAGCTTCGCTCTCCACTGATCTATGCAGAGTTGATTACTTGTCAAAAAAAAAAAAAAAGATTTCTTGAAGTAAAATAAAAATGACAGTAGTGGACAGCAGTTTGAAGTCTCAATGTCTAAATGCAGACTGATATATTGCAAAATTAAGTTCTTTTCTTTGAAATATTATTTGTCATTTTAAATATTGATGTTGCTTCTGCAAACTCATTTTAATTGTGTAGCTTTCTCCAGTGTTTTTTAAAAACAAATAAGCTTATTTCCATAAAATTGCAATAATGCAGGTTTATAGGCAACCATATACATATTACAGTGGTGTTCTACCTCATAAAGTAATACTTTGTGTATAACCTTCATTCCTTCTAGAATATCACAAATTCAGCCCATTTCAGTCTGCAGGCTGATCCTTTCTGCCACCACTTTATATCTATGCTCAGTAGTAAGCACAATAAATAGCCTTCAGATATATGCTGAACTTATAAAATGAATTAAAAATAGCCAGAATGCTATAGAATACGTATCTATGTCACCACTGAAATGTAAGTCTGGATAAAATAAAAAATATTTAGTACATAGCTGTCATATGTGCACATTTTCAAATGTTGCCTCTTTAGAAAAGCTGCAGGGCCCAATCACTTCCTGCTTGTACTTTTCTATTGTCCACAGGCCAAGAAGGCCTTTTAATAGGGTCGACTGCACCTTCATTCGTCTTACCTAAAAGGCAATTGGGTTGGGTTCCCATATTCAGCTTTGGATAAACTCCCTGTATTCCTTCTCCACAGTCTGTGTCAGCATTAATGGGATCCTGTAGGAGTCTTTCTTCATTGGGAATGGGACACGTCAGAGTTTCCCTCTCTCGCCACTATTAACTCTAGAGCCTTTCCTACGCTGTGTGCAGGCCAACCCCTATATTAGTGGCATTACGATAGGATCTTAAATCAACAAAATCTCAGCATACATGGACAATCTACTTTTCTTCCTTAGTAATCGGCTGTAATTCTCCCAAACCTTATTTTAGAGTTCAAAATATATGGTGAATATTTCCTGAATCTAACTTTACCCCAAACAATAGCTGCAAGCAGAATTTGCATTCAAATGAGCTTCCTCTCATTTTAGATAGCTAGGTATTCATCTCCCCAATGCTTTATTCAAATTATTCTCTTTCAATTTTGCTTCTTTAATTTCAACATTACAGACATAATTGTAGTCCTGGTCGGCCAAGAACCTCTCTTGGATGGGGAAGTGCAACACTATTAAGCAAAACATCCTTCCTCGCATGTTCTATTTGTTTCAGACAATGCCCATTCATACCTATAAAATATTCCAAATCCCTTCTAAATGATTTTGTATGGTCTAACAAACCAGCACTCCTGAAACATTCCATTCTTCAAAGGATGAAAAAGTCTGGAGGGATGACACTGCCTGACTGTACTATCTAGCCACCCAGCTGACAAGGGCACTTGACTGCTCCAAACATCAAACCTTGAAATAGTGGGTATTGCTAGAACAGGCAGCTTCCTCTACAACCTTTGAGGTACTTTTGTGGTCCCCCAAAATGCCCAAGCCGGAAGTACAGTACATAAGCACTCTACTATAGGGGCAACTTGGAAAGCATGCCATATAGCTTTTGACTCCTTCAGGATAGCTCCATCACCTTCACCTTCTGATGCGAATGGCCTGTGGGAGACTATAAGCCCCCCTTCAACACTTTGATCAGGACCACTGAAGATCCTTTTTCCTTGCTCCGCTCATATGCCCCCCAACAGAGGCACCTCCCCTTTTCAACTTATTTTCCTTCCTTCCTCACTGTCTTCTATACTACCCATCTGACGCCATCTTCTCTTTATAGACCTCACCACAGGTTATTATATATTCCTTAATTTAGATTCCCTCCTTAAGTTTCTCTGACTCTGGACTATATGGGCTCTAACCATAGTATAGCACAGCTGGGCCCCCTTATGCGAAAGATCTCTACCTTACAAAAGACATAATGCGTTAACTCCTTTTACTAAGGGCCCTGGGACCTCCTTGGTTACTACTATCCGTTCTAATATTATACCTCAGGAGCCCTGGACTGTTCCTTGTTGAACGCTATAATCATTCCTGTATGTATTTTTGTAAAATTTTCATAATGTGGAATATTTTTCAGATTGCCACTGTAGTCTGCTCTCTGTCAAACCTAAACCGCTATGCAATGGATTTTTCTATTTGTTTCCATTTTGTTTTGTGTTGCAAAAGATAAAACGCTGTAAATAAAGAATGCAAAAAAAAATACCTGTTCATCTACCAGAAATCCAGTATTCCTGCTGCACTTAAATCTCAGGCAGTCCTGTCTATGTTTTTCCCTTCTCCCTATCTTCTCATCTTCATGCCTCAAGGAAAGGAGGTATTTTGTTTTCCAGCACAAGAAAGTGGCCAACTCAGTACAGTATGTTGGCAGCTCACTGGATTTCTGGCAGATCAATGGATATTTTTCTATATGTGCAGCATTTTTAAAAAGACAAAACATAAGGAATAGTGCACGTATAGCAGATATGAATCATACATGTTTTTTGTATTAATTTTTCCCAGAAATGCACTTAAAGCGGGACTAAAGCCTAAGGAAACTGCAATATTAGCCACTGTTTGATGTGCAGCCACCATGGTGTTGCACAAGTGATCAGCTAAGACAGCAGCCATTTGATGGCTTGACAGTTCAGTTTAGAGCTAACATAAGCACTCTAGTAACTGTCACAGGCATAGTTCATGCCTTGAAAGCAACTGTTTTGTTAAACCGTTAAATCTGTAAGTTTAGTTCTGCTTTAAGAGTTTACTTTCCTGATAGAGATGTAAATGTTAAAACATTGGTTATATTCTGTCTAATGACTTTGTTTGGAGATTGTCCTCTTAATGCTAAAATAATGTTCTACAGGGAACTTAATAAATTAAGCATATCATTATGGATTCCCTATTAACCTTCATAAAATTAAATGTTAATATTTTCTGAATTATATTAAAGTATCAAAAAATGTAAAAATGGCATATGGAAACTATTTGCATCCTAGAGACGAAGACTTTGAAGGTATACAATAATGACATAACGAAAAACATAAAATAGTGTGTTCAGTTCAGCTTGCTATAAAATGAATGCAGTGCAGATAAAGCTATTAAATATAATACAATGACATGTGATTGACCTTTGGTGGCAGTGTTTTTTTTTATATGTGCAGTGCATCACTAGGGGAAAAAGACATAATATTTGTCACATTCTTCCCCTAATATCTCACACACGCATGGGCGTAAAGAGGTAGCTCAGTTGTGAGTCAAAGTACATACTGCACATCCGTTCATCACTCTATTACTTTCCCTTTTCACTAAGAATAGAAAAATACTGGTGCTCCATTCTCTTGTTTAATGCTTATAAAAGAGCAGATTTTTTTTGTATCAAAATATATTTTTGTGCTAGCCCATAGAACATCAAACTTCTGTCCCATCATGTAAGTTATTGTGAACTTTCACTTCAAAGTTCATCTGTTTGATCTTGATACCTTTGACCTCATAGCTATCTTTACTTTCATTGAGAAGGTTGACGTTCCTTACAGTACAATGCTGTCTGTTTAAGTTCTTTTCCACACGCTCTATATTTTTCCTTGAAGCATCCACTTTGGTGTTTAGTGGATATTCTTCTGTGGAATCCTTTGGCGGCATCTTTTTCTTATTCTTCCTGCATTTCTGTACTATGAGGCACACAGACAAGAAAACAAGCATTAATAACATTATGGCTGCAAATGCACTTCCAATGGAAGCGCCTGTTTGTGATGCCGCTGTAGCAGCTGTTTCCACTTCTAAATTCAAAGTCTTCATGTTTGTGCCATTCTTAACTTGATCTCCTTCATTGTCATAGATCAAAGAGTCATCTAGTGTCAGCCGCCCATTCTTGTCCACTAGATCCCTGCGGCCACGTCTCAGCTGATAGGTTAGAGATCTCTGCACTCTGGGTCCTGCCATTGTCTCTGGTCCAATAATGTAGATAACTTGAAGGTACCACTGATGCCCAGTTTCAACCTTTCAAATAAAAAAAAAATATTTTTTTTCAAATTGTTGCATCATTTGTGAATTATATAAGAGCACATACACAAAGGCACATATACCATGTTCTGTTTGTGTCATATTCCGCTGACCCTAAGGGGAAAATAATCATGTTTTGGAGCTGTATGCAGAGTTCTCTCCCCACCCCCGTTGACATGATCTTCCAGTGTGGTGGGGGTTATTAGAATTAAAGTGTTACTAAACCCAGGGCCCTGCATTCACTATATCTGGTCTCCCACAGTACACAGAACATGGAAATGCAATTATTTTAGTAATTATAAACTGCTAAATACCTTTTCTCATCAGAAGTTAGAGAAGTCTTGTTACTTCTATCAGTGTCCAGCCGAGCACTGGGTAAAGCTTGTAGGAGGAGTTTTCATTCTCCCCTGATTGTCCTATGAGGCTGCAGGACCCCTTACCCTGTCTGGACAGTGCTGATTGGCCCTGTGCTGATCACATGCACTCTCCCAAGAAAAAAAAATAAAACTCTATAGCAATACACACCAAACTGAGCATGTGCATGGATTGGGGACAGAATAAAAGGGGCATCAGAGAAGACAGGATCATACATCCTTTTTACACAATGCAGAGGATTAACCCCTTAGGTTCCACAGTAAGTATAACAAGTATGTTTATTGCATATACTGACTGATTTTACTGTTGTGGGTTTAGTAACACTTTTAGGAACTGTCAAAGGCTCTCATCAAGCATTCTGTCCACCCAGCAACTCATTCATTCATAGAAGCCATACTACAACTTCTATTAATGAAATGTGATCTATGAATTGAAGGCAGACCTATAAATCATCCACCCATCCTCCATTCATAGAAGCTGTAGTACGGTTTCTATGAATAGTGGAGCTGGGCATAAAGGCCTGTCACAACCACCACAGTTCTAATAACCCCCACTGTATCTAAGGATTGCAGAGGAGGGGGATTTCACCTAACAGAACAGGCATCAGTACAAATGAGAACAATATGCACATTCTGCTGACTGTAAGTTATGTCCCTTTTGCTGATTTTTGTGTTTTTTTATTTTGGCTGCACTTAGGCTTGAAGGTATCTATCGTCAACACTGAAAGCCACATTTCTCAACCTGCGGCAAACTGGTTACTTCAATTGTGGCTGGTGGTAATTGTAACTATGGCTAACATTACTCTAATGCACACAAGGTTCCAACGCATACCATTAGAGATCTGCAAAAGCTATGTCATCAGATTTAACTATTGGTCCGTGAGTCCATTAGTCAGAGTTTTGGGTCTATAGTGATGCATTGGAAGGAGATGTTTTAGGTGTGGCTAAGGATGACTTTGGAATTAGATAAGCCCCTGGCATTTTGTTCCCAGGGTGCTCCTAGCTTTTAAGATACCCTGAAGCAACCCTAGCTGCCTCCTTTGCAAATGTATTTAGCAGGTGTACATAAATTAAAGTGGTTCTAAAGGCTCAACTGTCTGTGTGTAGCAGCCCCCCCAACACTTACCTAAGTCTTATCCCGATCCAACGTTCAGTTCTCTGGGGACTCTCACTCCTGATTGGCTGAGGCAGCAGCGGGAGCCAATGTCAAGCAGAGCCAGTGAGCCAATCAGGAGAGGGAGAGGCGGGCTGAGCCACAGCTCTGTGTGTGAATGGACACGCAGAGCAACAGCTCAGAAGCGTGCCTGTTCGGGTGTCCCATAGAACGCTGCTTGCTGTGGGGGAAACCAACATGAGGGAGAGGCCAGGAGCACTGGCGGGGGACCCGAGAAGAACCACTGCACACAGCAGGTAAGTGTGACATGTTTGTTATTTAAAAAACAAAACAAGACTCTAGTATCACTTTAAGTGTATGCATATTATTGAAATCAATATAAAAGAGTAGATTTCCTTTTGTGTCATATTTGCATGAGTACCTAGGAGTGAAATGTGTCAACATAATGAAATAAAGGGCACTCTGCTACTATTTTGTTGCTATAAAGCAACATTGTGTGTCTGGTACATTACATGTTGGATGACTGAAGTGTATTCATCATATTTGATGTAAGATACCACAGCACTAGTTATAGGTAAATTACCGTATTTTTGCTCCATAAGACATACTACAAAAGATGACCAGAGACTGCAGACATAGTGCAGGAAATGGCCAGAGACTGCAGATGTACTACAGGAGATGACCAGAGTCTGCAGACATAGTACAAGAGATGACCAGAGACTAGACATAGTACAGGAGATGACCAGAGACTGCGGACACAGTACAGGAGATGACCAGAGACTGCAGACACAGTACATGAAATGACCAGAGACTGCAGACCTTTGGGGACCTGGGAAGGGGGGGAGCGGGTACCCGAATTTGACAGGTACCCGCTCCCACTTCCGCTACGATCGCCTAGGTGATTGGAAGGGGGAGTTGTCCTCCCCCATAATCTTCTGGGACACGTGACAGGTCCCAGAAGATTACGGGGCCATTAACAAAGCACAGCACTTCTTGTGCATGCACAGTGGTCACGCAGCTGTGAAGCTGCAAGCTGTCACAGCTGGGTGCCCACACTAAAGATGCCGGCGCCAGGGAGAGAAGACAGCCGGGGGACCGAGGTACAGATAAGTGGCTGTATTTTAAAAGTCAGCAGCTACAGCTTTTGTAGCTGCTAACTTTTTTTTTTTTCAGCTGGAACTCCGCTTTAAGGGGCAGCTGCTTTGGGCCCTGACTGCCACAGAAGAGCCGAGCGGCCGGCCCGGTATTCTAACATGGTGGTGGCGACGGGGGGAATACTGGGCCGGCCACTCCATATTCACTCCATAAGACACACATACATTTCCCCCCATTTTTTGGTGGGGAAAAAAGTGCTTCTTATGGAGCGAAAAATACGGTATACAAAAGGATTAATTTAGGTGTGTTGCTATAAATGTCTTAACTACCCTGTATTGTTAAGCTCGATGGGTAAAACACCTGTTTTCTGAATAAAGTTGGTTTATTTTATTTTGAGGTTGATGTAAAAATGTGTACTTTTGCCAGTAGCAATAATAATAATAGAAAATAGCCCACCTTATACAGGGCATCAACTTTCATAGTGAACCCGTCCACTCCTGGCAAACCACCCATAGCATGGAAATCCGGTTGATCTGAAGCAAAGCCAGCTTCAAACGGAACGTCGTGGAAGTATATATCAGTAACTTCTGGCTGGTTTCGATCCTGCAGAATTTAGAGTAAATAGGAAATAAGTTGTTTATTACAATCTTTTGTTTAACAAACTCTACAAGACATAAGCAAAATTACAAGCACACGTCATTACATGCTTGTATACACTTTTAACATGGACTGTAGCATTAAATGTTCATTTATTTTATCATGTTATTGGAAATTACAAGCTAACAACAGTTTAATTTAAACAATTAACTAATTACCAGTGCCTATAAATAGTAGATTATTGTTATTTATTTGTAGAACTGCCAATTGTCATGGTTTGTATAGAGTGGGGATTGATCTTAGCCTCTATTTTTTAAGGCAACAAGAAATGCATATTACACAAAAGAAAACACATGATATAAATATACTGTATACACCATACTGGCATATACACTACTCAAAAAAATTAAAGGAACACTTTTTAAGCAGAGTATTGCATCAAGTCAATTAAACTCCTGGGATATTGATCTGGTCAGTTATGTAGCAAAGGGGGTTCTTAATCAGTTTCAGCTACTTTGGTTTTAATGAAATTAACAACAGGTGCACTAGATGGGCAACAATGAGACAACCCCCAAAACTGGAATGGTTTTACAGGTGGAGGCTGTGATAATTGTGTGCACAGATATGGACAATGACAACCATAATTTGGATCATACTCTGCAAATGTCATTCTTACTCCAAATCAGTTCCCCCTCCCTTTTGTTGAATGGCATGTGGTGGTGTGTGTGTATACTGGGGTCACAAGGACATTGGGCACAGCTGGGTACGCTTCATGGTTGTAAACCCAATTAGCTGGTTCCGTGATGTCTGACAGACCCTTGCCTTGGCCGGGTCGTAAAGCTATGAACCAGTCAGTCACTGGACATGAAAGCACTCCCGAGTGGCAGTAAAACATATATTGGCTACATATAAGTATAAAGCCAGCACTAATCTAAATTAATCATAAACAGAGCAGCTAGCAAAAGGAAAAAAAAACTCTAAATCCTTCAAAATACCAGATAAAAAATTGCAGCGCTAAATACTAACAGATGTCAATATTGGTGATATAATGCAACAGCGATAAGATGGAGAGCAATAGGAAGTGATCAGTGCAACGTCCTGAATGGATGAAAAGGTTAATGACATAAACGCACAATATAAGCACACCACTCTTTGCCTATACCACAAGGAGTCACGAGCACCATATTTTATTGAGTATGTGGAGGAGCCACGTACCATCTGCACGCATTGGATGAAATAGCCACTTATTTATGGAAGAAGTTTTATGTACTATGTACGTTTATATTGTGCGTTTATGTCATTAACCTTTTCGGCCATTCAGGACGTTGCACTGATCACTTCCTATTGCGCTCCATCTTATCGCTGTTGCATTATATCACCAATATTGACATCTCTTAGTATTTAGCGCTGCAATTTTTTATATATTGGCTACATCTTTTTCTGTAAATATTTTTATTGCACCATTTTGACCTATTTAGTAAAAAATCCTATTTTCTGAAAAGTGTTGAACTGTTGCTAAAGCTCTTTAATGCAAACTAAGAATCCCTGTCTCTGAAGAGTGCTACTGTGTGTTATAAAACCTCTGTATACATCTGCCTGTGGTGACAGTGTGTATACAGATGCTTATTCAAATATCATAGTGTTACTGCTAAGATTTGTGAGTTTCCTCATTCTCTTTAAAAAGGTGGTGGTGGTGGCCGTGTGAAGAGTTAATTGCGTAATTAACCTGACCCAGTAACAATCGCTCTCAGGCTGCGGGCACATAGATTGTGGTCCAGTGAGCTGGAAAATCTTTGTGCAGGGTGCAGCTGTGCAAGTGGCAGCGCGGTTTTAGATTGGCTAGTCCTTCGGTCACAAGTTGGTGAGAAGGACTGGGGTCTGACGCCACACCCGTCACAGAGGCCACTGACATTTTCTTTCCCTACTCATCTTTTCTGACTGTTTTTCACTAGTTTTGCATTTGGCTAGGGTCAGTGTCACTACTGGCAGCATGAGGCAATACCTGGACCCTACAGAGGTTACACAGGCAGTCCAGCTCCTCCAGGATGGTACATCAATATGTGCCATTGCCAGAAGGTTTATATGTGTCTCCCAGCACAGTCTGAAGAGCATAGTGGAGATTCCAGGAGACAGACAGTTACTCTAGGAGAGCTGGACAGGACCGCAGAAGGTGCTTCTTTGAGCAAGGATGAGCACTTCCAGAGCCCTACAAAATTATTTCCAGCAGGCCACTGGTGTGAATGTCTCTGACCAAACAATCAGAAACAGACTTCATAAGGGTGGCCTGAGGGCCTGACATCCTCTAGTGGGCCCTGTGCTCACTGTCCAGCACCACAGAGCTCAATTGGCATTTGCCACTAAACACCACAATTGGCAGGTCCGCCACTGGTGTCCTATCCTTTTCACAGATGAAAGCAGGTTCACCCTGAGCACATGTGACAGACATGAAAGGGTCTGGAGAAGCCACGGAGAATGTTATGCTGCCTGTAACATCATTCAGCATGACCGTTTTGGTGGTGGGTCAGTAATAGTCTGGGGAGGAATATCCATGGAGGGATGCACAGACCTCTACAGGCTAGAGAATGGCACCCTGACTGCCATTAGGTATTGGGATGACGTTCCTGGAGGATGAAGGAATTTATACCATTGAATGGCCCCCACGCTTGCCTAAATCTAATAGAACACCTCTGGGATATTATGTTTCGGTCCATCTGACGCCGCCAGGTTGCACCTCAGACTGTCCAGGAGCTCAGTGATGTCCTGGTCCAGATCTGGAAGGAAATACCCCAGGACACCATCCGTCGTCTCATTAGGATCATGCCCCAACATTGTCAGGCATGCATACAGGCACGTAGGGGTCATACAAACTACTGCGTACCATTTTGAGTTGCTGCAATGAAATTTCAGCAAAATGGATTAGCCTGCTGCAGCATTGTTTCAGTTTGATTTTCAGGGTGTCTTTGAATTCAGTCCTCCGTAGGTTGATAATTTTCATTTCCCTCAAACAATGGGGCATCCTTACGTTTTTAACACATTACCCAGTCCATATCGGTAAAGATATCCAGCATGAGATTTTTCCCTATTGAGATCTGATGTGTTTTCAATGTGTTCCTTTCATTTTTTTGAGCAGTGTACATTTGGAAAACAGAAAACAGTTTCCACTGCATAAGTCTAGGTTCACACCTATATGTTTTCCATTGCATTTTGCAGAAATGTACAGCAGTCCACTTAACATGATTTGCTATGGGACAAGTTTATATCTCCACATTTTCACCTGTTACGTTTTTAGTTCTGTAGGCTTCAATGGAGACGCTGCAGAAAAGCATGTAGATGTTGATGCATTTTTGATGCATTTTGCATTTTAATCTGCCCAGCAACAAGTTGGGAAAAAAACCCGCAAAACGCATAAATAACGCATGTGCAAAAACGCACCTCAAAAAGCACTACAGAAACAGATGAAAGGCAAACTGCATAGTGTGAACCTAGACATACTGAATAAATACAAGATAATATATATACAATGTACAATGAATAGTAAGAGCTAACCTACACAATCAGTTTTAAGCTGTTACTAATAAGATTGAACCACTTCATGGCAATCCCCTCATTAGCACAGAGCTACACATGGGAATTTTATTAGCTCTATCACAATACCATAATAGCTGGAGAATAATTGCTATGTGTACAATTGATTGCTAAACAGAAGGAATATATGGCTCCCTAATCTCATATAGTCACAACATTGTTACAAGATCTCCACTTGAAGACATTACCCCTGCATTTACAGAATTTTACCAGTGACTACTGTAATAGGGAAAATCCTGAACTTGCCAGTAGTTGTCACAACAGGAGATGAAAGCATATTTTCCAATGGGGAAATCTGGTAACAGCTGTCAAAGGTAGGATTTATCCTCGGTTTGCAGAGATTTCATGTTAATTCCTTCAGTGTATCATTGCGACTGGATATGTTGTTAAATTTTACCCACTCTATCTATAAAATATGTCTAGAGTTCCACTTCATAGCTCATTGAGAAAGTGGAGCTGTTGTCAATAGCAACCTGTGATATTCCATATTTTTTCAGTGTCAGGAACACCTACAGTATATTTATTTTTATTCTGCTTTAATAAACCAGCCTTACTATACATACTTCTCCCGTGTCAAACCTAACTTAACAAACATACTATAAAAGCAGACTTCTGCAAAACCCATTATAATAATTGTATGTATACGATCTACTACTTACCAAGAGCAAAAACCGGTGCTTCAAGTTTTTATTAGGTTGAATACAACCATATTGAGGCCCTTCATTATAAATAGTTCCAGTTGGGTCAAAGAAAGGTACATATCCATCCTTCCCAGTGCAAAGGTAGACCTTCTCCAGCTGCAGTTTGTAGGCAGAATTGAGGTTCTGGTCAGGATTCCATAGTACCCTTCCATAAAGTGTTTGCCCTACAATACATTATGCATTAAAACTAAAGAAAAGCAGTGGTTTGCAAGGAATGTAAGTGTTTTTTTTTTTTTTACATATGTTCAATATACCAGTGCTTCAGGACTCTTTTAACCTAATTGTTTCACAAACCTGAGCAATACAAACTGAGAGTAATAGTAGGAAACAAGTGAAACCATATAACAAAATGATCCCTACATCAAAAGCTAAGGGCAGCTGAATTTCTAGTCAAATCTTATCTTGGCCCTGATCTCTCTACCCTACAAGTGCTCCTATTAACCGGGAAGGCATTTTTTTACATTAAAGAACTAATAGAGAGGATTAATTGGTAGAAGAGGTGGGACCAAGCTTGATTTATCGGTATACAGCGAACATAGATAATAATCACCCCCCCCCATTTAAAATTATCACATTTTGTTGCTTTGAAATGAAGACAGACACAGTTTTTGTTTTATCTAGCTGTATTTAAGTTGTGCAGCTTATAACATCCAAGTGAAAGATATAACACCAATATGTCAGGAACAAAAAAAAAATAGAATCACTGAGTTGGAAAAGGGACCATCCCCTTGTGTCAGTATTTTGTTGAATCACCTTTTGCTTTACTTACAGCCTTTAGTCTGTCGGGATATGTCTCTACTAACTTTCCACATCTAGACTTTGCGATATTTGCCCATTCTTCTTTGCAGAACTGCTCAAGCTCAGGTAAATTTGATGGTGACCATATGTGGACTGTAGTCTTCAAGTCATTCCACAGATTTTCAATGGGGTTGAAGTCTGGGCTCTGACTAGGCCATGCAAGGACATTCACCTTTTTCTCCTTCAACCACTGTGTGGTTATTTTTGCTATGTGCTTTGGGTCACTGTCATGTTGAAAGGTAAACCTTCTACCCATTAACAACTTTCTGGCAGAGGGCAGCAGATTTTCCTCAATAATTTGACAGTATTTTGCCCCATCAGTTTTTCATTTTATCCTAACAAGTGCTCCAGTCCCTGTTGCAGAGAAACACCCCCATAACAGGATATTACCAGCTCCATGTGTAGGAATGGTGTTATTTGGATGGTGAGCCGTATTGGATTTCCACCAGACATATTGTTTCGTGTTGAGGCCAAATAATTCAATTTTAGTCTCATCTGACCATAACCCCTTTTTCCATATGGCCCCAGAATCTTCAAGGTGCATTCTGGCAAAGCTTAATCATGACTGCATTTGGCCTTTCTTGTTGCATTTTTCTTGTGACCTTCCCATACAAGCCACATTTGTGGATAATTTGTGATATTGTTGTCACATGCACACAATAAAATTCCTGCAACTGCTTCAGAGTTTCTGTAGGGCTATTGGCCTTTTGGTATCCTCTCTGACCAGTTTCCTTCTGACTCATTCATTCAGTTTGGAGCGACATCCTGATCCAGGGAGGGTCTGTATCAAATACCTTCCACATCTTAATAATAGACTTCACTATGCTTCTAGGCATTGAGGTAGCCTTTGAATTTTTTTGTATCCATCTCCTTGTGCCTGTCCACAACTTTACCCTGCATATCTTTGATAGTGCCTTGCTACCCACTGTTGATTGTTTGCCTCAGTTGCACTGCCAGGGACTGAAATGCTCCAGGAAAGCTCTTTTCATGCTGAGCTAATCAAAATTACCACAGCTGATCACAGCTGAAAGTCAAATGGCTTTGTATACCATTGAGGTGATTAGCTACACCTGATTGAGTTTACAAGTAATTTTTTAGGAGGGAGTTGATCCTTTTTCCCAATCAGTGTGTCTGTTTTTGATTTTTTAAAATGTGTTTCTGACATGTTGGTATTATATCTTTAATTTGGATGTTCTAAGTTGCACTAAGTAAATACAACTGGATAAAACAAAACATGTGTCTGTCTTCATTTCAGGTTGCAAAGCATCAAAATGTGATTATTGTAAAGGGGGGCAATTCATTTCTATACTCACTGTATATAAGATTTGAAGATAATTAAGCTGCCTTTATCTGTACCTCTCTGTATGAATAGTTTTAAAATGTACTTTTCACTGAAGGTAGCCTCTATATATTCGCCATTATATGTTTAGTTTGCAATGTCTAGGTTTCAGACAGGTTCCTTTCATTTGGATTCATAACATGCTTCAATCTTCCTTTTTTTCCACAGGCAGTAAACCTCTTAGCTAACATGTCATACCAATGGGTTAAAATCAAACATGCCCTACTTAGAAACAAATGAAAATGTAAATATGTAACACGCAAGAAAACTTTAACTACTCTGCATGAGTGGAAGCAATATACCCCATGCTGTGCCTATATGGATAGCAAGATTTCATATTTTGGCACAACATAATTGATGGAGTACTGCATTTTCATTAAAGTATGAGTAATTAATCAAACTCAAGAACTTGTTAAATTCGAGAGTTTTGATAACCAGTTCACTATGTATGTGGCTTGTGATGAACCTCTTCTCAGTAAATGTCAAGATAATAGATTGGTGGATGTTATCCACTGCGTACATTGTTTTGGCTTGAACTGGGAATTTATGATGAATCCCCCCCAACAGCTGCCCATCTCATTCTGCTAAAGGTTCTGTGTAATCACCTGTGTGTGGATGAACTGGCTGAGATGATTTTCCTCTCCTCTAAACAGAGATATGTTTGTGCAAGATTAGTGTACAAAAAGATAAATGCCTGATGTTAGCATTTCCCGTCATGTCAGAAAATTGTCCCACTGATTTCAACAAGATTATAAGGTGTCATTCACACACGGCAGTTATATGCGTGCCCCGTGCAAGGCTGCGTTTTTGTCAGCAACATGGGGATGCACGCAACATGTACTGCATGCATCCCCATGCCAGCACCCACTTGGATGTCATATTGGGACACAACAGCTGTGTCCATGCAGCTACTGCGTTTCAATAGACAACAATGGGACAGCTGGCACGGGGATGTATTAAACAGCATGCCAGCAAAATACAGCCCTGAAGAGGATGCGCATGTAATCATCCAGGGTGAACAAGGCCTTACTGTATATTTTGGATCATGTTTATAGTTTTGATTATACTCATTTTGATATTTGTATTACTATTGCACAGCGGCATGTTAAATATTTATCTATCTGCGATTGCATGGACTATCACTTATAAGCGACTTTTTCCATGAATTCTCTTAGCAATTATTTTTACAGGGTAGGTTGCCAGTTCTTTCCCCAACCCCTACCATGCAGGAAATCCCACATGGCCAGGGATGAAACTAGGACAATTTAGACAGGAGCCAATTAACCTACCAGCATGTCTTTGGAGTGTAGGAGGAAACCGGAGTACCCAGAGGAAACCCACGCAAGCACAGGGAGAACATGCAAACTCCATGCAGGAGGCGCCATGGTCGGGAATCAAACCCATGACCCATTTACTGCAAGGCAGACTTACTAACCACTAAGCCACTGTGCCGCCCATGTTAAATATACTACTCACAAAAATGATATTTGCATATCAGACACTGTTACCTTTGGAGAAGGCCCCTTTATAATCCATCTCGGCCAAGGACATTTCAGTCTTAGTTGGGTCCATCAAGAAGATCTTTTCATTATTGCACAGCTGGAACTCAGTGTTTAATGAATATACCACTGGGACTGGGCGGTTTGTTTGCTGGAATGCAATGGGAATAAGAAACCTAAGGCGGCAAAATTTGAAAGACATTGGTTATTTATGCATATAACATTACATATTCTTATTAGATCTACTCAAAATATAAACCGTAACTAAACAGATTCAGTGCAGGGGCTGCTCAGTTAGTAACACATACTGTATTTAGTAACCTAAATATGGGTGTAACATGTTACTAAAGGTGAACTTATCCTTTAACCATTTGCTGCTCAGTCACAGTAGATTTACTGTGACCAAGAGGCAGCTGAAAGCTCAGCAATGTAAATACTGCTGACCCGTGCTGTGGTTGGGCACAGTGCAGTTTTGCCAACAGGTTTCGGCTAATGATTTATGACTGAGACCTGCTGATCTGCAGTGTCCAATCACAGCACAGAGTCCTGTGTTTACAAACACACAGGGCTCTGTACACAGAGGAGTAATCTGGCTGTTTCTTCTCCTTGCAAAGCAGGGAGAAAAAACAGCCAAATCTGTAACTAAAAGCAGCACAAATTACACACAATACGTTTGTTAGACACAGTTGACCCCTTAATTGCCACTTGATGTTAACACTTTCCCAGTCAGTGTCATTAGTACAGTGGCAGTGTACAGTATTATATCTGATCACTGTATTAGTCTTACTATTGATGTCAGTGTTAGTCAGTGTACCTCACAGCGAGGGCCTGTTAGCGCCAGACTGCTGGCCACACTATCACAGTCCCACTAAAAGTCTCTGATCACTACTTGTGCCATTGCCAGTTAAAGTATCACAGTGCTGAATTGCAAAAAATGCCCTGGCCATGAAGGGGGGTAAAAGCTTATGGAGGTCAAGTGGTTAAAATCCACAGTTAATACACTATGTACTTGAGACATGAAAAATGGAGAGGAAAAATGTGAACCTATGATTCACAGCAAAACTTCTTATGAGGTTAATTTTAGATGTAAAATCAGCAACAACTTTTTCTTTTAATTTTGCAGGGAGTGAATAAGGTTTAGAATCCGTTTGTTGTCTCAATCCTCAATGGGAAGCTTATACTTTTTTTTTCTGTCACTGGTACCACACAGAAAATAAAAGGAAACTCTCCGGCAGATGGTAATACTTTTATTCCCTCAACAGGGATACAGAAAGCAGTAAAAAAGAAAAAAATTATAAATTCGTATCCCCAAACCAACCAAAGCAGAAACTGACAGAACACAAATTAACAAATAAAAATGGGCAGCATAGTGAGTAAGCGGTTAGCACCTCCGCCTAGCAGCACTAGGGTCATAGGTTTGAATCCCAACCACAGCACTATTGCTGTGTCTGTGTGGGTTTCCTCCCACACTACAAAGACATGCTGGTAGGTTGATTGGCTCCTGTTCAAACTGGCCCCAGTATGTGTATGAACATGAGTTAGGGACCTTAGATTAAAAGCTTTGTGAGGGCAGGTATTAATGTGAATGTACAAAATATATATGTATGTGTAAAGTGCTACACAAATTGATGACACTATATAAGTACCTGCAATAAACATAAAGGAAAGGGACAGACTTGGGAAATAGCTAAGAGAGGAACAGTTAAAGTGGACATTTCAAAACAAAGTGAAAGCTTTAATAGGCTGACCTACCTGCCTGTAATTCTGTGTACAGAACAGAAAAGTGACCTGGTGTGCAGTTATCAGAGTATTCCTAATGACTGGTAGCCAAGCGACTAAGACCTCTTTAGGTAGCACAGAGTTGAACTAAGTTACAAAGGAATTTGTCAGGAAAGCTTCTGTACATTTTTTACGCAGCTACATATTGTAACAAACATTTCTGTTTTCCATGCTATCTTTATGTGGCTTTTAGAACTGTGGGTCAAATGGACTTGCAGATTCCAAAGTAAGGATTTACAGGGATGGCAAGCATCCTTGAAGAATGCCAATCACTGCACCCTCTGCAAAGACCTCCCAAACTGCTGAATGCGTGAGCTCCCACAGTTCCTGAACATGATATTGACATATGCCTTTCCAAGTATCACAATACTCAGTAAAATGTGAATCTCTGTCCCTACAGCTGTACTATTACAATGTAATAACACAGTTCCGTAAACCACTTGAAGAGTAAAAGATTCTTCCAGCAAATTCTTTAAGAGAATATTTAAGCAATATCAGATGCATTTTCTGACCTTTCAGGAGCATGGGCTGTGCAGGCCAGAGGTTTATCTCCAGGGTCAATCCAAGGCTGGGTAGGCTGTACTGTGCAAGGGATGAGATAGATGGTATACTCCCCTGAGTAGTCCTTCCTGGAAACAAAATAAGTGTTAACAGCCTAAAACATGCAGTTGTATCTAATTTACATTATACTATTGTTTTCACCTGCTATAGGAGCTGGTTGCTCTCCACAACTGGTATGGTGAGTCAAAGGTCTGGGCGCTCCACAAGTGCTGAAGGTCAAACTCAATGCCGCCCAAATGATCAGGTGCAATAATACGAGATTTAATGTCTGGCAATGTGTGATGCTCCATAACAAACTGACCTGTGGAAAAAATGAAACGTAATTTGATAAGGATACGTAAACATCAGTTGTGCATGGAAGAAAGCAGATTTTTATGAGAGCAAAGGACGTCCGATCGGCTGCACTCCAAACAATCCACTTTATTGAACCAAGATAAAACTAATACAGAGAGTGAAATACAGAGGGGGACTGGCAGGCAAATGCGTTTCACGCTAAAGACAGAACTTATTCATTACCATATTGGGGTAAAGAATAAGCGCTGTCTTTTGAGTGAAAAACGTTACCTGCCAGTCCCCCCTCTGTATTTCCACTATCTGTATCTTGGTTCAATAAAGTGGATTGTTTGGAGTACAGCCAATCGGACATCCTTTGTGCTCATCTATGCAGCACACGAGCTGGGCTAGCACCTACAAGAGGAGTTGTGCTTAGAGATTGGGAGTCTCTCTACCTTGAGCAGCGGTAATACATATAAAGCAGATTTTTACATTAGCATGGGGAGAAGATTTTTACATTAAGAGTGGTTAGACTGTGCACAAACACAGAATTTAACAAAGGACTGAGTGATTTTCTTACAACTAATGATATCCACAGTTAGCCTTTATTTGTTAAAGGAAAATACGGGAACATTTTGATCCAGGTAAGATTTTCTTCCCTGCGTGGCAAAATGGACAACCACTTCCCACATTTTTAACTTTTATTTTAGAACACTTTCCCATTGCATGATTGTCCTACTTTGTATACTTGTAAGATGCAGTGTGTATACTTCTAAAGTTATCTTTCTTTCTCCATAATCCATGTCTCTCATCTATTCGTGATGTTATCCATCTGCCCAGTATTATTTGTAATATCCCCCTTGGTTGTTCTGGAGTATGCATATATTTTCTATTCACAATATAAAATGTTAGGATGTAAATTTAAAATCAAATGCTGGGGAAGAGTAAGAGGGTATGACATCACCGTGAGCAGATAGATTTGCTGGATTCATACCTTTCTTTACAAGTTTTAATGTGTTTTCATGTACATTATCAACAATAGTGCATTTAAATGTGTCCTTTTTGTCTTCAGCAAGCCTTATAATGGTCAACAATGCATTACATAAATGTGAACTATCATCATTTAAAACAATGGCCAACCTTTGCATTACAACACACACAATAAAATACATAGGTGAAATGGGCCTTAAAATCAGTGTATGTCAGTAGAAAGAAGGAAAGAGAAGGAAGGCAGACACGTTGAGGATGGTTAACTAAAGCAGTTGAAAATCTTAACTCAATAAATTGAAGCCGTATTCACTTTGCATACCCAATCGTGTGCAGATTAAATAACTATGCAATATTTAGATTTTCACATGATTAGATATTTAAATTGGATCATTACTCTATTTATTGAATGATGATTCTCAATTCCTTTATTATATCGCCTACTCTTGAAGGTACAACAAATCTGTTTTCTCACACATTCTTTGGTGCCCTGACTGTGCACACAATAGTATTTACATGTTCTCAGTCACCTCTGTAGATATAGGCATTGTTGAGAAATTCATCTTCAATGTTCACCCAGAAATCGTATTATTCCTTTCTATTACACCATAATTTTGGCAGCCTGCCAGCCTTTTAATGTAATCACAGTTAGAACCCAACTGAAACCAGCTTTTTGAGTCTTTGTGGTGATCTTTATGGACTCTTTACTTTACAGTACATGCAGCTAGCGGGGTAGGTGAGGGCTTGTTTTGACCGCTTGCTGTCCGCCCTATAGCAGAAATACTGCTATAGGGTGGCACGGGTGTGCAAAATCACGTATATATACCGTAGATAAAACATTTGAGCTTAGATACTCAATTCACAAAGCTTTAACTCAAGAATAAGGATCTTTTTTTCCAGCCCTGTGATGTTTTTTTCAAATCTCATTGAAAATATTTGCAACTTTTGCAGAAAAGGATCCTTATTCTGGTATGTTAGCTTTGTGAATTTACCCTGATAACATTTTACATTAATATGAGTGTTACCTCTGAATTTGGCATGAGTTTTAAACTCTATCACCAGACGTCCATCTTCACGGATATATATGCGAATGATCTGCAGCCTGGCAGACAGAACACTGTCTGTCTGTATACCTGTAAGTTAAATCAAAAACAAGTGTCAATATTTACAGAGTAGAAAATGTTATGATTTCTGCCAATATCCCCTGTTAACTTTTTGGCACTGTAAACTGCTGCATTCAGTAATTTCCAATAATTCCTTATCAATGTCCACACTGTTCATTTCCAAAGCACAATCACTGAACATTCACATCACATTCACCAATATCTTCATTGCATTTACCCTTTAATGCCAGAAAATGGAAGCAAATTCAGGCAGAAAAATTTATTTGAATATTCCCAGTACTTCTGTAAAGACCCATATATGCATTGTGTTATACTTCTTTTTTTCTCAAACTAGCTGAACACAAACACTGCATTGCTAATAACCTGATTTGGGCTCTAGAGTAGTCAACATTCATCCTAATATTCCTTCATAGTGACAATAAATCTTACCAGTTCTCCAGAGGACTGTGTCATAAAAGAATGAGAATTCCATCTCTGTGTGGTGCTCCAATGATGCCCACCCTCTCGGAGCAGTCACATATATGTATGATACGTACAGTGGAACATGAACAGTTAAAAAGGACTGGGCCGAGTCTCTCACCTTTAAAGGGTTATGAATAAAGACAATTGTGGCATTAAACATATAATCTAATATTACAATTTACTTGTGACACAGGTTACAGAACAGCAGAAGTAAAATGCAAATCTATATTTTTAGTACCATATCGTAATAGCATATGTTAATAAATCACATAAGCTGAAGAAACAACTTGTAAAACCATATTTCATTTTTATTGCATAGGGCCTTAGCATATAATGAACCAAACATCAGAAATACTATATATATATTTTTATTTTTTTTTTTGTAAATTTAGGTGCATGCTAAGTAATTTGTAAGGGCATGTTCATATTTTTCCATTGTATTACTGTACTGCACTGACATGTGTTAAGGCAGTCCATTACTTTGAATGGGCCTCCAATGAACCACAACGTATTCAATGTATTCAAAATAAACGGCACCACAAAGTGCATATGCTTTGCACATTTTACCATTCTTTACTGCAACTCTGAGGTGTGAATGGGCCCTTAGTGAATCACTTAACGGTAATTATTAACTGTCATTACGTAGCACAGCACATTTCACTTGGTGCAGAGCAGAGTGGCTGGCAGGTGTACCCCCACCCTCTGTGGTTACATAAACCCATTCAGAGCTGCAATCGGCATATCTCACATTACACTTTTTAAAGTATCTAAACCTAATAAATCTGGTGGAGGGAGGTGGGGGAACCACACTAACATTGCAAACCTGAACACAAAATAGACTTTTCGCTATGGAGACATGAGAAATAATGTATATGTGTATATGTATATGCTTGCATTTCTGGACACATGCATTCCTAGTGTATACTGCTGCACATATGTACAACAACATGACAGAACAATACCTGAAAGTCAGCTGTAACAGCACCACCACAAACATCAATGAGTTCAGTCATGTCATAATAGGCATCAAAGGTCCAAATGCAACTCTTCAGGTTCAGGTGTTTATATAGTTGCACAGTCTTTGGCTCTCTTACATTAGGATCAAATTGGTAAGGTCGGTCATAGCCAGGTCCCACAGCAATGCTGTCATATGTCACCTCATCTAAGAATCCTGCCTCTGAAAACATATAAAAATATTTAGGTACCAAAAATAAATTGTTACCTGTTAGTATTGAGCCTTTCATATAATATATCAATCAAGCGATATATAGTAATAAGCGCAGAGAACATAGTCTACATATACTACTACTTACTTACTGATTTATTTATAACCTGGTGCACAGGCACCTGAAATAATGACATACTGCAAGTGATAAAAAAACGTTGACTATGAAATGCTGTGTTTAGTTGCCTGTGGTTGACTGTCGCAAAGTTTGCACAGAAGGCGGTCATAGGGTATTTATTTAACAGATTGAAAAACAAACTCAGTGTATTAGATAAGGGACTTGAATATCTCAACACAGCCTATATAAAGGCACATTTATCAACACAATAAAAATAAGATGTCTGTCCCAACTTTAAAAAAATGGAGAGCATATCCTAGACACAGTTTTGTGCTTCTTCCAACAAAAAAATGTAAAGAAAAATGTTGTGGTTCTCTGTACAAACACAAGCTTTTTCCTGTCCAGTATGTCTGCTGTAGAGAGACTGTTTTCACCTACTTTACTCATTGCTAGTTTAAGATCTTAAATGATATAAGCCTAGTAGTATGCTGGAAGAATAATGAGAGGCACTGTCTTATAATTAAAAAATTAGGTCAATAGTGTAGATAAAAAATAGGCATTTTGACTGGCCTATAAATTCCTTATCTTGCTGCTGATCACTATATGGTAGATTTTGCAGCAGACGCTAAGCAAAGCATCGTGGCCATGGCATGTAATCAGCCCCATCCGTTGCCTATTGCAGCTTAAAGTGTTACAAAACCCAGGACCCTGCATTCACTATATCTGGTCTCCCAAAGTACACAGAACATGGAAATGCAATTATTTTAGTAAATATAAACTGCTAAATACCTTTTCTCATCAGCAGTATATAGCAGTCTTGTGATGTTTAGCGAGCCAAGCACTGGTTAAAGATTGTAGGAAGAGTTTTCATTTTCCCCTGATAGTCCTATGAGGCTGCATAACACCTGACCCTCTGTCTGGACAGTGGTGCTTGGCCCTATGCTGATCACATGCACTCTCCCAAAGAAAAAAAAAACTCTCTAGCAATACACACAAACTGAGCGTGTGCAGAGTGACTCCTAGAGCTCTCTATACTATCAGCAGATGTACTGGGGAGAGTAGAGGAAGGGGAGGATCAGAGAAGACAGGATCAACCAACCTTTTTACACACTGCAGAGGATTAACCCCTTAGGTTCCACAGTGAGTATAACAAACATGGTTTACTGCATATACAGACTGATTTTACTGTTGTGGGTTTAGTAACACTTTAAGGGGGAAGGTTTTATTGCCCCCCCCCCCCCACCACACACACACACACACACACATCTAAACGTAGCCTAAGGGGGAAGTGTTTTTTTCCACCTGATATATGGTAAACGCTTGTTAAATATGATGTAAACGCTTTAGGCGTGTTTATGGCATATTACCATAGACTTAAATCGAAGGAAGTGACCAGATTTAACTCATTGCAAACTCAACATGTAGCTTCATTTCTGCCACACAGTAACGCAAAGCAATGCAAAGACTAAATGTTTTTCAAATGTGAACAGCTCTGTCCACTGTCCATACTATCCATTGTTAGGATGCTTTGCTAGGTGTTTGCTAGCTTGCGCCTCTTAAAATCCAGGGTAAGGAAAAACCTCTGCTATCTCTGCTACAAATTCAGTGTCCTCAATTCCTGAAGAGGGTCAGGGGGATAGGAGAAGTGTAGGCTTTCTGGCCTCTGGAAACCAAAGGTTCAAGAAGCCCTGAAAGTTTTACAAAAAAAGTCAGACATAATAGAATAGAAATCTGCTTTTGTCAAAGAGGCTACATGGTGCACACTTGCATTATTATAATAGGGCATTGCTCTGAAACAAGGGAATAGCTATCAATCTAAGCAATGTTCTGAGTTTCCTGTAAGTTGTCTGCAGGATGCATGTTATTCGGCACATTTAGAAGGTGTTTCACTAACTGCATCATTCTCCAGAGACTAAGGAGGAGAAGAAAATGTTTCTCTCACTGAAATATGTTGGAGGCAAAATGGCAGGGGGTACCACAATAAGGTGAATAACTGGCAATTCCTCCACCTATACAACTGTGTTGTGTGATAAGCACTGCAGCTTGGCCAGGAAACCATGAACCAGTGGCAACATATAGAGAAACCCTGTTTTAAGTTAAAGCAGAGCTCCCAAAAGGGGAAGTTCCGCTTTAAGCCTTTGTCCCCCACTCCCAACTAAGGATTGACACTTTGGGGAGCAGGGGGAAAGGGGGTACCTGAATTTGACAGGTACCTGCTCCCACTTCTGCTGTGATCGCCTAGGCAATCGGAAGCGGAAGTTGTCCTCGTAGTCTTCTGGGACACGTGACAGGTCCCAGAAGACTATGGGGCCATTCACAAAGCGCAGCGCTTCTCACGCATGCACAGTTGGCACCCGGCTGTGAAGCCACAAGCTGTCACAGCTGGGTGCCCACACTAAATATGCTGGCGCCAGGGAGAGAAGACGGCCGGTGAAAGCAGCGGTGGCGAGGACACTGCTGGACCGAGGTACAGGTAAGTGGCTGTATTGTAAAAGTCAGCAGCTACAGTTTTTGTAGCTGCTGACTTTTATTTTTTTTTTTTCCAGGTGGAACTCTGCTTTAACTACAATGCTGAGTCAGGCTTCGTCCAACATGGTGGGCATAGCCTCAAAGAGCTCTTCAGGGCCAGGGAACCACAGAAATAGACCACAGCGCTGGACCTGTATAGAAACCTGCAGCTAAGTACACGTTTCATGGAAATGACTGGATTTTATGAGTGTAAGCTAGGGGCAGCTCTAGCAAGTTTTCTGCCAGTGTCCAATCATCTGAAGGTAGCATGCATATAACCCATGGTCTATGAATACAAGTCTTGTGTTCTGTACTGTATGATTAAAATATATAGATTGGTTCTCCAATGTTTTTGGAATGTTATTTCTCTAGCTTTTCGATTAAAGTGCATACAATACCTGAAATGCCTCTCAAGTCACGGATAGTGACAAGGTTGGAGCACACATGCTGGTGGCGATAAACAGACTCAGAGAGAAGGAAGTGCAGGTTATGCAGAGGCATAGTAGAGATGAGAGGTAGCATGCCATCTTGATGTGGTATCTGCACTGAGATGTGAATTCTAATGGGAAAAAATAATGCACAGTAAAGATATGGAATGAAGGCCAAGGATTCCTTTCTTTAGCTGTAACTGGATATTTTTCAATATTTTATTTTGGGTTAATTTAATTTTATAATAAAATTACAGGAGTATAGGACATACCTGTTGGGGTGTTCTTTATGTTTGACATCCAAATATTTCAAAGTTGCAATAAAAGACTGAGCTTGGAATCCTCTAGCTGTGCCTGCTACTACTGGTGTATGGCAGATGGCACTGTCAGTTCCTATGCTCACAATATTGCTTCTCAGTGGTGTGCCCACATGTCCAGCTTTATCCACAGCTTTGGCTACACAGCGTACATGAAAACGCCTGCTGAAATAAATGCTATCCAGCACCTTGGGAGGACACAGAAGATAGATATCACTTTTAAATAACGCATCCATTAAGGTATTCTTCGATATATAATGAAAACATTGCAACAGAAATTGTATACATTTATTAACACGTTAATGTCATAGTTGTTGCCTGTCAGTTAAATGAGGAAAACAATATTATTGTTAATGGGTGGAAAGAGAATAGTAACAAAAAATAAAGTAATGCCTACATGTATAGACTGGCTATACGGCAACTCTGGCATTAGCTGGGGGGAGGGGTGGATGATATTACTGGAAGTATATAGGCAAATGAGAACTTCTAAAGGTGATTCAGTGTCGCTTCATTCTTCACTTGGTCCTGGATACATTTCTGAGTTAGTAAGGGTGCCAGTACATGAACACAAATGAAGCATTAAGCTTAAGAAAAGTAGGACTGCATGCTTAACTCACCAATGTCATTTTTTGTGCCCAGGCACCAAGTACTTATCTGTGCACCTTTGGTGAAGGAAATAGTAGCAGACCATTATGTAAATGGACATGTTTGTACCTTGTTTGTAAGCATCGTGGCCATGGCATGTAATCAGTCCCATCCGTTGCCTATTGCCTCTTAAAGTGTTACTAAACCCAGGACCCTGCATTCACTATATCTGGTCTCCAACAGTACACAGAACATGGAAATGCAATTATTTTAGTAAATATAAACTGCTAAATACCTTTTCTCATCAGCAGTTACAGCAGTCTTGTGACTTCTATAGCAGAGCACTGGTTAATCTTGTAGGAGGAGTTTTCATTCTCCTCTGACTGTCCTTTGAGGCTGCATAATCCCTGACCCTCTACCTGGACAGCGCTGATTGGCCCTGTGCTGATCACATGTACCCTCTCTAGCAATACACACCAAACAGAGCATATGAAGACTTAATAAATATAACTCAGCACACATATATATATAAAATCCTCAAGAATCCCTTAAAGTCATATCAATATCCTTCCCCTGAAGTACTAATAAAATATATATTCATTGACTTAAACCCAAAAACCCACAATTATAGTGAAAAGATCAAAACCCAAAGAGATTACCCAAAAAATAAAAAATATCAAATATATATAAAAGAAACAAAAATAAATAAAGTCCCAATATGCAAAGTGTCCAAATAATGTGTCCAAACAAAGATCAATTTCTTGATAGGAAGACGCTTCCTACTCCACTGAAGAAGATGCAAATCAATCACAGGTGCTCTTCAAATACATATAAAAACGATAAGATCAGCAAGACAGCATCCAACTCCTCATGCCCAGTATGCGATCCCCTTTCCGTGTGTAGAGGGTCTCCCGATCACCAGGTAATTCCCCCTTGCTACTCCTATCCAGCACTATCACTTTGTAGCTCTGGGGGACACCTGAAGTGCACCGTTACTCTCCAGACCTCCAACACACAGGGATTCCAGAATCCAAAATGGCTGCCGCAGCACTTCCGGGAACGTCATGTGCCCTGGACGCGTTTCGTCTCTTCTGGACTTTGTCAACAAGGATATGGACATAAGGTTCCAGTTCTTTAAGTACCCACTCCTAACCTGGCGGAAATACCTCAGCGGCCATCTTACAAAGTGGAAAATTGAGATTGAGATGAATGACTACCACAGCTGATATACCATGCTAGATAGTCATCCCCACCCCATAGCTCTCATCCCTAAGTTAACCTCAAGCCATACTTCAGTCCCAAGGATAATAAAACCACCTGCAGCCATTTTGGAAACTGAAAGAACAATTTTAAATAACCATAAGGTCGGGGGTAACACCACCCCTTCACCATTGATTACAAAAATCCACAAATAATAAAATCATTCACAAAAATTATAAAATATTAAAGAATATAAGAAGTACATGCTAAAAAATCTAAATTAAAATAAAAATAAAATAAAATGAAATGAATTTTTTTTTTTTTTTTAGTTTTTTTTTTTTCTTCATTTTATTTTATTTTTATTTTAATTTAGATTTTTTAGCATGTACTTCTTATATTCTTTAATATTTTATAATTTTTGTGAATGATTTTATTATTTGTAGATTTTTGTAATCAATGGTGAAGGGGTGGTGTTACCCCCGACCTTATGGTTATTTAAAATTGTTCTTTCAGTTTCCAAAATGGCTGCAGGTGGTTTTATTATCCTTGGGACTGAAGTATGGCTTGAGGTTAACTTAGGGATGAGAGCTATGGGGTGGGGATGACTATCTAGCATGGTATATCAGCTGTGGTAGTCATTCATCTCAATTTTCCACTTTGTAAGATGGCCGCTGAGGTATTTCCGCCAGGTTAGGAGTGGGTACTTAAAGAACTGGAACCTTATGTCCGTATCCTTGTTGACAAAGTCCAGAAGAGACGAAACGTGTCCAGGGCACGTGACGTTCCCGGAAGTGCTGCGGCAGCCATTTTGGATTCTGGAATCCCTGTGTGTTGGAGGTCTGGAGAGTAACGGTGCACTTCAGGTGTCCCCCAGAGCTACAAAGTGATAGTGCTGGATAGGAGTAGCAAGGGGGAATTACCTGGTGATCGGGAGACCCTCTACACACGGAAAGGGGATCGCATACTGGGCATGAGGAGTTGGATGCTGTCTTGCTGATCTTATCGTTTTTATATGTATTTGAAGAGCACCTGTGATTGATTTGCATCTTCTTCAGTGGAGTAGGAAGCGTCTTCCTATCAAGAAATTGATCTTTGTTTGGACACATTATTTGGACACTTTGCATATTGGGACTTTATTTATTTTTGTTTCTTTTATATATATTTGATATTTTTTATTTTTTGGGTAATCTCTTTGGGTTTTGATCTTTTCACTATAATTGTGGGTTTTTGGGTTTAAGTCAATGAATATATATTGCATATGAAGACTTGCCACTGCTGCTCTAACTATTGCAAATTGGGGATGGTAGAAGAAGGGGAGGACCAGAGAAGACAGGATCAAACAGCCTTTTTACACATTGCAGAGGGTTAACCCCTTAGATTCCACAGTGAACAAGCCTGCTTTACTGCATATACAGACTGATTTTACTGTTGTTGGTTTAGTAACACTTTACAGTGGTTTTAAATACACAAGGTTTTTTATCTTCATGCATAGAAAAACCTTCTGGGTGCAGCATCCCCCCTGGCCACTCGTAATACTCACCTAAGCCCCCTGTCAATCCAGCAATGTGCACTGGAGTCTCAGCTATCCTGGGACTCCCTCTTTTCATTGTCTGAGACAGAAGTGTGAGCCATTTGCACTCACTGCTGTCAATGACAGCCAGTGAGCCAATGAGAATTGAGGGGGGCGGGGCTGAGCCGCGGCTCTGTGTGAGAATGGATACACGGAGCAGCAGGTGCCCCCATAGTAAGCTGCTTGTTGTGGGGGCACCCGACAGGAGGGAGGTGGCAGGAGTGCTGGCGGGGGACCCGAGAAGAGGAGGATCCTGGTTGCTCTGTGCAAAACCACTACACGCAGCAGGTAAGTATAGAGATGTTTGTTTTTATAAAATAAAAAAATAAAATAAGCATTTAGAATCACTTAAGGCGTTTCTTTAATTTTCACCGGGTGTCCCAGCCAGTAAATCTGTTATGTTTCAACTTCCATTAGCAGCCCAAGCTGTCCAGACAAAGTAGCTATAGAGGGTTGAGATAAACCATTGAACACTAACAGGAGTGTGTACAATGATCAGCTTTTATTTATTTATGTAAAACCTTTATCCCAAAAGGAACAAAACTGTTTGCTGTAACTGCTTATAGAGTGTTAGCTGGAGTTCAGCTTCAATTTGTTGGTCATGTCTATCTAAATCTGCTAGTATAGCACTACTCTCCCCCTAGACTAACAATGCTGTTCTCCAAAGGTGCTTACTGTACCATATCTTCTAGAATGCAGACATCATAAGACACGTAGGGGTTTATTTACTAAAGCTGGAGAGTCCAAAATCAGACTCCCTTCTGCATAGAAACCAATCAGCTTCTAACCTCAGCTTGTTCAATGAAGCTTTGGCAATGAAACCTGGAAGCTGATTGGTTTCTATGCAGAAGGGAGTCTGATTTAGGACTCTCCAGCTTTAGTAAATAAACCCCGTAGTGTCTGGATCACCAGGTGAAATAAAGACAAAAAGCCTTAAACAGAAAAAACAAAACAATGCACCACACATTTAATGATATATACGCTCCAAAATATTACATTTTTGTGTTTAATAAAGTTTTAAACTCCATTACTGCATTTTGTTGTCACCTATCACTTCATGTTTAACCATATGAGGATGGAATTGTCTGTGGGTACTCACCATGTGATTGACACTTGTGAAAGGGGTAGTATCAGTTATTGTCTCAAACGGAGATCGGGCCCCACTTGAATCAGTGGGCGCTGCCACCTCCCAGCTAAACATGATAGTGGACTGGTTGATGCCAGCCTCCTCACATCGCTCCCTCATTACAGAGTATTTAGGAAAGTGGTGGTCACATGGTGTGACACATACTAATGGGTACCCAGGAGATGGGGATTTCTTTGAACCTTCTTTGTTGACTTCCTCCACATGATCATAGTCAGCCAAAGATACCACCTAAAGACAAACAAAATATAGTTCAATAAAGTACTTGATGGATTGAAGATAGCAATGCAAATATTAATGTAAACTTGCACTTACAAACAGACTGCAAATTAGCAAAAGTACTGTTTGTAGCTACCACCAGGCCCATGTTCTTGGTATTCATAACACTTAAAAAGAATTACACGATTACAGACATGTTGATTAGGTTGAGGAAAGGATTTCTCACAGGCCACATGGGCTGTGCCCTAGGGTGTCATTGCCACCAGAAAAGATGACTAGCCTCCAACACTACCAGCTTTATTTAGCTCTTAAAGTAGAACTTTACCCAGGACTTAAATTTCTGACTAAATTTCCACTTTAAGTAGGTTCACATATAGATCCTCTTGCCAGAACTGCACCTCCCCCCATGGGCATTTACATACTACCCTTATCTGCCCTCGGCTCTGAATGGCTCTGAGTGCCATTACCTCACACATCATACAGTACCACTGGAGTGTGAGGTGGAGTATAATGGAACTGAGTTTCTGGGTGATACTATAGGAGCAGAAGCCACACTGTTGAGATAGATCATTATGGATATGCGGATACATTGGCCGGTTTATGCCGTTACCATAGCACTTGGGGTGCTTTTTTTAATATGGGTGTATTTATGTGTGAGTTCTTAATGAAATAAAATAAGAGTATACAGAGAGCACTATTTCTGGTCCCATTTTGTTTTTGCCTGTATAATTATTGGAGAGTGAAATATTGCTAATGGGGAACAAAAGCCTGAAGGAGAGCAGATGCCTAATAGCCCATGGTGGGGTGAAAAGTGTGTTATGACCTTAATTTATTATTGGGGTCAACATAAGGAGATAAGCATGTGAATGGAGCACAGGGTGGAGCATGTGACACCTGGATGGGATTCTTTAGAAGTTGAGAGGGAGCATTAAGATCACACCACAATAGTGGAGGATTTTTTATGGACACTTGATATTACTTGAAGATGTTTTTTTTGTTCACTTTTTGTTTATTTGCATTGCACTACATCGAAATGTATGATATACTGTATGTATGTAGAGTTGTAGTGAAAAACACTGGGTGATGTTTTAGCAGCATTCACTGTTTTTGGTTTCATCATCATTATATACAGTAACTGCACTAACTGATTTTTTCCCATATTTGAGTTACTGGATGAGTTGCACTGAGACTCTGGCTGCCTGTGGACAGTTGTTGGATTTGGCGTATATGAAAACAGTTTGTTGCTGGTGACTAGCCAGATCCAAGTTAGGTAAATGATTTGGCAACTATAAACACAATGGGGTATATTTATCAATCCCGTCCTAAGGCAAAGTGATCCTAAACAGGAGCACTGAGACGCATTGTAAGACAGATTTATTACAAGGTTACAGCATTGGTTAGTCATAAATTCCTCCTTTGGCTGCTCTAAAGTAGCACTGCAACTGAATGAAACCTGCCCTCACCACTTCTTAATTATGTGTCTGTTTAGAGTGGAAATCTGTCTCATCTTCAATAATAAATCTGTCTTTGAAGTTTCAAACTGTTGCACTTAGCTATTCAGAAACACAGACGAACAGGTCTCTAAACCTGTCACACAGACTTTGATGACTGAGACCCAGGCTACTTTGCAACTAATTTTGGTGCTAAATTGCTTGATAAATGCCTTCCAATGCTCTCAGGGCTGAATAATATTTGCCAGGAGTATGTTTCACTTCACATATCAGAAAGCTCTAAAATGTTGTTCTGCAGTGATGCTCACCACTTAGTGAAATTGTGTTAATTTTTTTTACAGAAAGCTGGTTTTGTACACAAAAACAATTTTACTAGTTAACTAACATGTCAGCTATAAAATAGAACCTGCAAAGGGTGACCAAGCTTGTCTGACAGTGACAATATCATGTTAAATCACGGCCTTTTATTTAATTATTTTTCCAACAAAAATTTAGCAGGCTCATTTCATACTGAAATTTTAAATACACTAAAATAAACATACTTTTCATGTAATTACTTTTGGCACAGGTAACACATATCTAATTGCAGAGCAGTTTCTACTAGTAATTCATATTTTAAGGAGTCAACCAGTCCTCCTTTCATTCCCACAAGAGCATAATATTTATAAGCCAGTACTGGAAAAAAAATTATAGCTGTAAAAAATGAATATCAAGTGCTATTGCATAAAAGTCACATTATAGGAAGAATGCACTCGCCATAAAATACTGGAGTGTGGAGTAGGCATCTCCACTACACAGACATCTATCCCACTTAGCAAACCTTATACTAAACCTCTCTCAACACTTTCCTCTTTTGACTTTGCTACTACTGAAGAGGTCACTAAAGTTTTCTCAGAAGCCCGTCTCGCTACCTGCCTCCTGGATCCTGTCCCCTCAAAACTACTACGGTCATCCTCTTCTTCTGTCCTATGCTCCCTCACTCACATCTCTAATGGTGCCTTCCCCACCCCTCTAAAGCATGCACACATCACTCCCATACCTAAAAAGCCCTCATTGAACCCCACCAATCTGAACAATTTAAGACTCATCTCCCTGCTCCCGTTTACCTCTAAGCTCTTACAATGCTTAGTCTACTATCGCCTGAGCTCCTACCTCACTGACAACCTTCTTGACCCTTTACAGTCTGGCTTTCACTCACTACACTCCACTGAAACTACCGTACTAAAACTCACTGATTTACTAACTCTAAAACCAATGGCCACTACTCCATACTCTTACTACTTGACCTCTCTGCGGCTTTTGATACTTTTGACCATCCCCTCCTCCTCCTCAAATAACTCCACTCTCTTGGCCTCCAAGACTCTGCTCTCTCCTGGTTCTCCTACCTATCGCAACGCTCCTTCTCCATTTCCTCTTTCTGTAGGGGTCCTTCAAGGTTCTGTCCTTGAACCCCTTCTCTTCTCCATCTACAACTCTGCCCTTGATCACTTGATAAACTCCCATGGTTTGTATGGCTGTCATCTCAATGCTGATGACACACAAATCTTTCTTTCTACTCCTCACCTCACCCCTTCAATCTCCTCTTTCATTACTAACCTACTATGTGACATATCAGCATGGATGTCACTCCACTTCCTCAAACTGAATCTTTCCAAAATGGAGCTTATACTATTTCCTCCAGCCCGTGCCCCTTCACTGACTTCTCCATCAAGGTCAATAATACAACCATCAGTCCCTCCCCTCATGCTAGGGTACTAGGTGTAATCCTAGACTCCCATCTGTCCTTTGAGCCCCAAATCTAATCACTGTCCAAATCTTGTAGACTTCACCTCCGTAACATCTCCAAGATACGCCCGTTCTTAACCTCGGAAACCACTAAGCAACTTATTCACTCCCTTGTTATCTCTCACCTTGACTATTGTAACTCCCTCCTCATTGGCCTACCTCATCACAGGCTATCCCCTCTTCAGTCTATCATGAATGCTACTGCCAGACTCATCCACCTTACTAACCGTTCTGTATCAGCCACCCCTCTCTGCCAATCCCTCCACTGGCTTCCCATTACCCAACGGATAAAATTCAAAACATTAACAATAACATTTCAAGCCATTTATAACTCTGCCCCAAATTACATCACCAATCTTGTCTCCAATATCAACCAAACTGTCCTCTCTGCTCCTCCCACAACCTCCTGCTCTCTAGCTCCCTTGTCTCCTCCTCCCATGCTCGTCTCCACGACTTTTCCAGAGCCTCCCCCATCCTCTGGAACTCTCTACCCCAACCTATCCGACTATCACATACTCTGCCCACTTTTAGGTGATCTCTGAAAATCTCCTCAGGGAAGCCTATCCTGCCTTCAGCTTTCTCCTATCAGTTCATCCCTCACAGTTATTACCTTTTGTACTGCCAGTCCCTCCCTCTTAGATTGTAAGCTCCCAGGATTAGTGCCTTTCTAACCCTCTTGTATTGAACTGTATTTCGCTGGCTGCTTATCTCTGAAGTCCCTCAGAGGACTTACACGCCTGATTTTATTCGCTGTTTGTGAGTACCATTCTTTAATTAATACATTTTAGTTACTGAGGTAATGCACAAGGTTGGTGCGCTTCTCTTTTTTGTTTTACTTTGCAGTATTGGTCGGGCTTCCCCTGCCTTGTTTGGAGCTGCACAACCTTTTATGAACTGGTGGTCGCTTTTTCTGGTTTTGGTTCCATCCACTCGCCACTGACTTGGGTCCTAGAGCGCAGGAGAAATCGCATCTGGTCTATTACCTTTTGTACCGCCAGTCCCTCCCTCTTAGATTGTAAGCTCCCAGGAGCAGTGCCTTTCTAACCCTCTTGTATTGAACTGTATTGTTGCTGTATTGTCTCCCTTTATATTATAAAGCGCTGAGCAAACTGTTAGCACTATATAAATCCTGTATAATAATAATATTAATACTTTTGAGTGAAAATTTCAGTACAGTTGTACATCCGAGCCCTATTAGTCTGTATTTCTGATTTCATAACATGTCAGACTGCTAGAACTGAGGGATTACCAGTAGCTACTGAAACTGTAATACAGGCTGATGGCTCAGAAGTGATATATACTTTTCTAATAAAAGATCAGAAGAACAGACCATATAATCAAATTTGCACAGTAAATCTCACTTACACTCTTCACTCAACTGTATGAATACAGACTTTCTACAGACTTTCAGTGGAAAGCAACAACCAGGCATATTTACTAGGACATTACATATAAGTAAAAAGTACTATGACTGTTCAAATTTCAGTAACCCATAGCAACTAATCTGATATTAGTTTTCTATTGATCTGACTAATAAGCTGAAATCTGACTAGTAGCCATGCAATTTGAATGCATAGCTTCTTTACTAAAATAGCTTAACACAAATTCGGCTTCATTCTATAAGCCTAAATAGATCTGGACCATAGTTCTCCACAGGAGAGAATAGCCTGCTAAATTAGCTTTTAAATTATATATTTCTCAGCCTGCGTAACACTGCATTTATAAATACTGTGACATCAATCTAAAGAGGCTAAGATGTATGAGGAAAGGCTGAAC